GATTTATGGTTTGGTTTTAAATACTTAACCCTACCCCCTAAACCCTAAACCCTACCCCCTAAACTCTGAACCCTAAACCCTCCTCCCAGTGACTTCCGCTGAGGTTCGAAGCGGCGCTCGCTTCCTCGTCCTGGACAATGCTGCCGGCCTCGCACAGGGCTCAGCGACCCAGCACCCTGGGGGAAGATGTAGGAAGTAGAACCCCTTAGGGTTCCTAGGGTTCTATAGGGTTATATGGGGTTTAGAGTTCAGGATTTAGGGTTGAGGATTTGAACCCTTAGTATGGTACCCTGACCTACACCCTAAGCCCTGAACCCTGCGTACTACTATTAGGTAATTTCTAGGAACCCAAAAGGGTGATGTACTTTCTAGATCCTCCTAAGTGACAGTGTGAATGCTAGTGGATGAATTCCTAAACCCTAAGCCCTAAACCCTAAACCGATGAAATCACGCTCCTGATCGGGCAGTGGGGAGCCGGGTGACCTATGGATATACTGGTTCATTCAAGCTTTAGGGGGCTCAAGTATGCGTAGACCGTAGACCCTTAAGGACTGGCATCGTGTTTAATGTGAGATTGTATCAGAGCGGTTGCCAGGCATGAAGGTATTCTAGCAGTAATGTAGGGGCCTGTTTATTTTGTTGGGGGAGGGTGTCATTGTATCATAGATATCCTAAACATTGCATATACAGGTTAGAAGGGAATTGGATTGGCATGTTTCAGGCCTCTTTATTTGGTGTTCCTCTGAACTCATGTCTTGGCGCCTGAGTGCCGAATGAGAGAATAACCAGCCTAAACATGAATGTGTTGGGCTGCGCCTAGGTGTTGAACAGCAATCCGAAGAGTAGAGGTTATATACTGTCTCCACCCATGGGCAGCTGGATAATCTTCATGATACAATTATACATACACATATATAAAGCCCTTAATGTGACCGGTAGGATAGACTGTTAATGGGTTGGGGCAGGACCCGAGGTGTGGTATTCGTACGAAGGCTAGCCACTTGACATCATGATATCCCATAGTACCTCAAATCAGCGTTGAGATATTTGGACCCTGAGGCCAATTTTTTAGAGTTGCGGAGCACATGAAAACATCCAGCCGGCGGCCAGTCGAACATGTTCGTTTGTGTTTAAGTCAGCTAAGCACGTGCTTGCCCATATACCGCAGTCCTAGCTTCCCCATCCTAAGGGTCCAGGGACCCAAATAATGGGGTATTAGGGCTCAAATACTATAATATGAATGGTATTTGGGCCCTAAAACCTTACTATTTAGGTCTTTGGACCCTTAGGGCCATCTATCAACACGGCAAGATGTACAAGACTCCGGACTTCACAGGTGCCGGCACTCCGGTAGTAGATGCCAAGGAGGTTTTAGATCGTATGAGCCATAGTCTAAACTCCTTAAAGGGGGTTATATAGGGGATTATATAAGGGACTACTATAGGGGATATTCAGGGGTATACTAGGAGTTTAGACTACGGCTCATATTGCGGCTGAGTATGTGGCGATGTACAGGGATAGCAAATGTGTGATTGAAGACTCTAGCCTTGCGCTCCTGGTCATAAGGATGTTGCCATGGAGCTCATGATCGCAGACCTTGCCGCGAGTCTGAAGATGAATGCCGCCAGGCTATGGATCACTTCGCAGCATTGCACAAAGATGGAGTGGGGACCTTCTACAGCAACAATTCCCAAGCACTCATCAAAGCCGTGAATCTGCTCGGCTGGCACCATGAGCTGTCAAAGGCCTATGTGCACCAGTCGAGCGCCATCGCTGAAAGAGCTGTGCGTGATGCCTGCTGCAGAAATTGAAGGAATGTCTTGGGCTTAGGGCTTAGGGGTTGAAAGTATGGGAGGATTGGAGTTTAGGGTTTAAGGTTCATGGGTTTGAAGATAGATGTGTTTTTTTTCCGGACTAATGTCTTGGGGAAAACCCTCCTAGCCTTATTGTACCCGTGTTGCCCCCTGCTTTCCCAAGATAGTTCAAGAGCCCCAAGCCCTAAACTATAAGTTAATATGAGGGGTGGCTTTTTGAGATCTTTTGACCTCGCTGTTGCCGCTCAGTTCCCTGCACATACCACGACTCTCAAATGATGTTTTTTCCAGGTTTTGTACGGGATATGGTTTGTTGGTTGCTGTTGGTTGCGATTCAAGTCAGAATCTCCCCCCCAAAGAAACAGTGCTAATTTGGAAGGTCTGGATGGGCCCCAAGACACACCCGCAGTCCATTGAAAAAGACGGGCCCATTAGGATTTGAGTTCAGAGTTTGACGGGGGCTTAAGGTTTGGATATAGGGCTTGGGGTTTTGTTCGGGTTGAAAGGTTGGGGGATACACAGTGTTAGGCTCACCTCAAACCCCAAACCCAAACCACTTCCCACTAACATTAGCCACCCCAACCCCGCGCAAAACGGATGATGCTCCCAATATGTTATATTATACCGCTGTGTGCATATGCGAATTGGTACGGTCTGGGGGGGTTGGGTGCTAAGGGGAGGTCAGGGTTTACGCTGTAGGAGGCAGCTCTACTGTTGGTCAGAAGCCCCCTAAACCCTAAACCCTAAACCAGGTGAGAAGTCTTCCATAGGCCTGACATAGCACTTCTGTACGGCAAGGGGTCTTATGGTAGTCCTACTGTATGGGAGTATTCTGGAACCTACTACCACCTGTAAGCTACTCACCTGTACTGGGGTTCTAGTGATAAAGTCCTTTGAGACCCTACCCAAAACTCTAGAGTTTTTTGTGGCATGCCTAAGGTCATGCAGGATTTTGTCCCCTCAACCCCATGTCTTAAGCCCTAAACTGAAAACAAGCCAAACCCGAAGCCCTAAAATTTAGAATTTACATTGTAGATACAGAAGGTTATTGGGGCCATGGCCGTGCAACTGGGTGGCTTCGGCGAGGCACCTGACAGATGGGTTGAGCTTCCCACTGGTTTTGTATAGGGTGTAGGGAGAGAAAGAAGGCATGGACAAAACCTGAAAACCATAGGCTCTAGGATTTAGGGAGTGGGAATTGAAGGACCATAGAAACTGCGATAGGTTTGGGGCTATAAAGAGATTTGCTATGCAGATTCCGTATTCCTGAGTATATTTGTTGCTCTTATTCTGTCACAAGGCGAGAGATCTTGAGTCAGCCCTTATTCCCTCTGAAGGGTGCCTAAACCCTAAACCGCGTCATATTCACACAGCGGGACCGCTTTAGTCCTAGGTCACTGTGGATCATAGAAGGGTATATACGGGTCTAGTCAAGCGCTAGCATGCGGGTAGTCTTTCTAAATGGCGATCAGGGTTTAGCAAGTTTGTATCAATTGTTTTTTTCAGTTCATGTGTTTGTCGGTGTACCAAGAAGGGTAACATTGGCCAAGATGACTTGGATGTGATGCATTTCATGCAACCCGAGACTCTCAGAATCTAAGTGGGCAACGAATACTTACTTCTGGCCCTACCCTCAGGCTCTCTATGTAGGTACTCTTGGTAGACTTGAGGGCCTCAGGTCGGTATCATGTATAAAGTTAGACCCCTAGGCCAGACTATAATTTCTTCATCTTTCGGCGACTGGGAGCCCTCAGCTGGATTTTTTTTCGTCTCATTGCTGTTGCAAAAATCAAGCCTTACTGCAACTGACTTCCGGATTGTCAGGAGTTCTCGTGCATCCCCTGAAACGTTTGCCCTGAAGCTGAAATCCTCAAGCCTGTGCCCCAAAGCCCTAAGACCCAAAATCCCAAGTCCAAAGCACTACATGCTGAACCCTGAACAGTACACCCCCAAACCCAGAACCGTATACCCCCACATGCCAAACTTCCGTAATTCAGAGAGAGAGAGAGGGTACGGAGGGTGTGCTTCGTGCAAGGACGGGGGAGGGGCAGTTTTGTAGCAATTACCCACCCAATAAAAACCTGGACCCAAAAATTAGGTAAAATAATACACCAAAACTTAAAAAATCGCCCAGAAGGCAATTATTCTACATACTTTGAGGGTTCAGTAGTAGGTATAACCCATTAAGCTGTAGGTAATTGGGGTTACAGGCAACGCCCGAGCCTTAAGCCCACGTGCTGCAGATATTTCGCGTCTTCCGCGGTGGCTGCCCCGAGAAGGCGTGGCTGCAACAAGTTCAGGGCGTTTAAGGCGTTTAGGGTTTAGGATGGCTTAGGGTTTAGGATGGGCCTAGGGTGATTGGGATTCGGGGTTCCTGTACAAGCTTGAATATTTCGTAGTATTGTTCCGTTATACCCGTTTATTCGCCGACAGAAGACATCGCATGCTGCATAGTGAGGTGGACATTGGGTGCGGACCTCGGTGGGGATGCTCGCAGCTGAGAACATGGCGATGTAGCCTCCTTCATAATTTGCTACACATAAACCCTACCCTTACACTCCTGTGTAGTTCCTGTTTGGCTACTAATTATTTTATAGTCGCCTACACCACAAACATGACAAACTCCAAAAAAGAACTACGTACGTAAGAGCCCTTTTGTAAATCATAAGCCCTAAATTTCCATGTTGTATAACAGGCCTTATGTTTTTGTTTGGGATTCTCTGTTGACTTGACTTCATGTCCCGAAACCTTGACACGTTCAACCGTTCAACAACCCCCCCCCCTCCCAAAAAAAAAAAATACACATTTGCAAAATCCCTAACTCCACCGGCCCCAAACCCCTAAGAGCAAAACTTTCAATCCCTGAACCGCAAACCTCCAAACCCTAAGCCCCTTCCCCCTTTTAACCCCTAAGAAGTTTACATATCATCACCTACCAAGCCGCCTCACTGTTTAAGGCTTAGTTTTCTCCTATCCCCCACCGGGTTTAGGGTTTAGGGTTTAGGGTGTAGGTTTAGGGTTGAGGATCTCCCTTAAATAAGGTAAGGACCACATGGAAGGGCCCAGATAAACCCCAGGCCCTAAACACCTGGACCCCTAACCTTAAACCTAGAACCCCAACCCTCAAACAGGTTTTTCTGGAACAGTAGGGGTCATGGGGTAGGTAGGGGAACTTGTGACTTGCTGGTGGGTCTTGAAGATATCGTTGAACATATTCGAGGGTAGCTAATAGCGAGAAGGGAGTTCCTGTAAGAAGGGCTATAGTATTGTTGGGTCTATATTGTGGGGACCCCCTGTTTATGAGCACCGTCCCACGTTTCTGGACCATATACCCCAACCCGTATCTGGCACTAAACTGGTTTCCTGTTTTCCGTCCAGATCCTACGCTTTAACCTCACAATGGCCCGGGGTCCTTTCTAGATCCTCCCAGGGGTTTGGGTAGTGAGATCGCCCCAAGCCTAGCCTTGTAGAATTGAAGACAGGGTTGCGAGGTGTAGCCTAAGCCTTAAACCCTAAGGTCAGGGTTAGGGTTGCAGATTCCGGTTTTAAGGTTCGTAGGGTGTAGGGTCTCTGCTCACGGCCGTGTGCGAGCCCGGATGCAAAAAAGGGTCGCGCTCAACCCACCAATCTGCTCGTCGGGATCTTGAAGCCAACTGGAATGATGGTGGTTTTCTGGTTGTCTGGGTTCCGAGGTGATGGGAATTATTTCTGTTGAGCATCGAAAGGTTATGCAGGGTTTACAGAACCAACAGCAGGAATATGAACTTTAGGAGTCTGCTCCATGGCTCCTTGGATCCCAAACCGTTACACTTAAACCCTAACCCAACCCCCCTCCCTGCGATGCCCAGATTCCTATAACCTCTGTACGTAGCCTCAGGTGTCCATGTACACAAAGATTGGGTGCTGGGGGCTTTGGCTTGGTAGTTGTGGTACGGGCTTTGGGAAAGTATGTGATTGAGTACGTACATGGACCCTCAGAGTCCCTGAGCTCTACACCCGAAGCCTCTGCCGCTGAAACATAAGCCTTACAATGATAGTTACTCATATTTTCCCCATGCTATCCTTTCAAAGTATATGCTGTAAGCATAGCATGATATTCCCCCAACCCCGCCGAAACCCTGAAGCCGAAATCTTTTCTAAAGCCCAAAACTAGAGCACGACATACCCCCAGATCCCCTTCGACTATCCCTTAACCTAAGCTCCGAACCCGGAACCCTAAACTCTAAGCCCCCAAGCCCCAGCTCCAGTCTTGAAACCCAAAACATGCTTCAAAGCCTAAACCTTGACACCCTCAATCCTTGAAAAAGCCAGACCTAAATCCCAAAAGTATGTAAGATAATAGCCCGAAACCCAGAATAACAGCCCTAAAGGCCATTATTTTGCATACTCTTGGGGTCCAGGAAGCCTGCTTTCATTATCCATAAGCCATATAATCCTACTAGATTCTCAACCCTAGACCCCAAACCCTATTTCTTGAACCCAAAGTAAGTAACACTTCAGGGTTTCGGGTTTCATACCCTAACACCTACCCTAAACCCTCAACCCTAAAAACCCTAAAACCCCTAAAACCCCTACTTTCGAAGCTGTTCTGTGGGAGGGCCTCATCGAGTTGGATCTCAGCGAGGCTGAGAAGGCCCTTTAGGGTTTGGGGGTTTAGGTTTCAGAGTGTTCTCCGGTGACAGTTTCTAGGCGGAGAGGTCAGTGGGCTTAAGGGCTTAAGGGAATACTTAGGTTTAGGGTTTAAGGTTTCGGGCTTAAGGGATTACTTAGCATAAGGGTTCAGTGCTTAGGGCTTAATTAAGGATCAGTGGGCTGAAGCGGTTGTGTAGGTTTGTACGGTTTGGGGCTTAATGATCAATAGGCTGAAGGGATTGCTTAGGATTAGGGTTTGGGGTTTAGGGGTTCAAGGTGTAGGTTTTAGGGCTTGGGGTTTAGGGCGTTGGAGTAGGGTGTGGGACTTAGGGTTGAGGGATTGGGGTATAGGTCTAGGTTTTAGCGATTAGGGGTCAGGGTTCAGGGGCTAGGGTTTTGGGATCAGGCTTCAGCGTTTAGGACATAGGTTCTGAAATTTCAAGGGTTCCTAGGTTGTATTGCAAAGGTGGTCCCCCTAAATGGTTTACCCAATGTATTCCCCTACATTCCCTTACATGGATTCCAAAACCGAGGGGTACAACCCTAGGGGTACAAGCCTGAAACAATTGAAAGTTGACGATGTGAGGAACCCCAACTCTTACATTTAGAATCTTGTAAGGTTCATCTCATGGCCATTGGCTGGCAGCGTTCTGAGTTTAAGATTTGGAGTAGTTGCAAACTTACATGGACTTGTAGGGCCTAGCCAGCTTATGAGCAGGGTTCCAACCCCAACTCGACATTGAATTGTTACTAAGCCTCATTGGAATAGTTTCCCTTTTTCATTCTATGATTTTTGGGACATCCTAAACCCTAAACCCTAACCCACTAAACCAGGGCTCGAACACTTCCATAGCGGAAGATTGCGACTGCCCCAGCTAGTTCACTAGCGCTAGAGCCATAAAGCGGAAGTACTGCTCCCCGGGCTGGCACAGACGCTTGCGCAAGCACAGGTCCTCTGCTCGTAAGCGCATCAGGTCTGGCACTGGGTCCCTTAAGGATTTTTGGATTCTGCAAAGCCATCACGGAACACCTCCATTTTCCTATCAAGGAAATCACGCGATGTCATGGGCCAAAGGTGGTGGTTCAGATTGGCGACTGTGGCGTGGATCCTGGCCCTCACCTTCGAAGGACTCTGTGCCTTGGCGACAACAGGGTCAGAAGGGGCAGCAGAAAGGCCAGGCCAAGCACCAGAAGGGAAGTGGCAAAGGCAAGCCTTCAGATGGAGGCTTCCCTTCTTACGATCGCAAGGCCCCAAAAGAAGAATTGATGAAAGAGGTGAGCAGCTCAAGCCAAGCCGGACTCATCACAGAAGTGCAGCGTGCAATAAACAACGCAAGGAGGCTAGAGAATGTGGCCAGAAAGCTCGAGCTTGCAAAACAGGAGAAGGCCAAGCAGTGGCAAGATTGGCAGGAAGAGTTGAAGGCCACCTACAGCAAGGAGCGGGCCAGATTCAACAGAGATATCACCCGTTTAGAAAAAGATTCAGAAAGCACTGCAGTCGAACTTCGAGCTGCAAGAGCCAACTTGAGGGCTGTGGCTATGGATTCTGGCGAGGATGCACACCGGGAGGAACCTCCGGATGCAACATACGAGGCAGACTTTACTGCGCTCCTGGCGGCGGATCAAGACGATTTCGACGCCAAGACAGCCGAGATGGACAATGCACAAGTGCAGCAAAGGGCTTTGGAAGAGGCCAAAGCATCTGGAGGTGTGGGGCATCCCTCAGGTCGTGCCATGGATGCCTTTGCCACTCCAGCTCGACGATCGAGGGTCCCAGCAATGACCCCCACACATTGCCTGACACCAAGTGCAGAGAGCCAGGCATACTCGGGCCCACCTGCTGCGACAGATCCTTACATGGCTTCACCAGGGGCTACTACAGGTGCTGCATCTCCCTCGCCAATGCGTCCCAAAGAGCATCTGCCGAGACAAGGGGTCAAGGAGGCTGTGAAGCCAAAGCACCCCATCAGGCTTCCTGCACACAGAGGCTCGCCGTCTTTGGCGGAGAAGCTAGCAGAGCGAAGGATGCAGCATGCAGCAAGTGCACATGTCCCAACCCCGGACATTGCAGTTCCAACAGAAGCCTTCTTGAGTGCAGAGCATCTTGCAGCCGCGCACAAGATCCAGGCAGAAAGAGACAGGCTCAACATTCCTGCGCAAGTGCCTGTCTTGATCTTCGACGATGGCGACCTGGACCTGGAAGACCCACCAGGAGACACACTGGGTTCGGATATGGACTAAACTCCGGCATTGGCAAGAATCGGCAGCGTGGTGAAGAGCAACGGGGTGGCTGGGAGTCTTGTTCAACTCCTGGTCATGTGCCGTCGGCGCTCTCACATTGCTGCTCTATGAAGGCTGCGGATCTAACAGAGGAGAAAGGTGGATGGGCTTCGAATGGGGGAAGCAGATCTGCCGATGCTCCATTTTGGTGGACACCTAAAGCCTTGAATCTTGTGACGATATGTTCTTTTGTGATGCACCTGCACCCTTGCAGCATGCAGACTGGCTTCTCCAAGCCTGTGGATATTTTTCAAAATTGCCAGGAGCCAGACAGCACAGCACAGAGATGTCTACTCCGAAATTTTGGTGTGCGGCCTTATAGTGCCAGACAACGGGGTGGCTGGGTGTTTCTTTCAATGCCCAGTCATGTGCCGTCGGAGTCTGAGCAGACATGCCTCTTTACATGGCAGGGACATGAAGAGACACAGTCCCAGTGCCAGGCTGCTTCACAGCCATGCAGTTCCAGACAACGGGGTGGCTGGGTTGCTCTTGTGGCACCCAGTCATGTGCCGGCGGAGTCTGTGCAGAAACTTGCCTCTTGCGGACAGCAGGATAATGTTACGCAGCCATGCAGTGCCAGACAACGGGGTGGCTGGGCAAACAACATTATGCCCGGTCATGTGCCGTCGGAGTCTGAGCTGACCTACATTCTTCCTGCAGGGCATTGTGTGATGCCAACAGAGCATACAGATGCAACGTGTGGGCTGGCATGTCTGATCGATGATGATTGGAGGCCACCGAATGGCAACGCTCCAGAACAACGGGGTGGGGAGTCTAGGTTGTGGCACCTAGCTCCTCATGTGCCGGCGGCGTTCTGTAGAGCCCTTGCGCAATTGGTTACAGCTGGATCGATGCTAGCGAGGCTGGACCGGCAAAACGAATGCCTGACAGAGGATAGGTTCCCTGTATGCAGTACGAGTCGCTCATATTGCTCTTCGCCGCCTGGGTGCCGCTCTAGTGATTGGGGTATTTGCTCCGGTCATGACGCTGCGGGCCTTTTTCAGGCCAACTGCTGCCAGGAAAGGATGCTCCGGACAGTCCCTTACTGGTATTGCTTTTATGGTTTAGTTATCGAAGGTTTTCAGAATGGGGTCTGCCTCCAGTTCGAACTGTCGCAACTTTGCTTCCCAGTTCTTCACTCATTCAATGGTTGTCTGGGTTACCCTGGACTCAATTTTGGCGAAGGCTCGCCTTTTCGACTGGCTGGGAGTCATGTCTTCCTTCACCGGCAAAATGTGCTGCCAGTTGTGTGCGCCTTCACAAAAGCAACTCTTCGGTTCCAATATGCATTGTTTCAACGTAGTTCATTGGTTGGAAGCTTTTTTGGGGGTGATGCCGTGGTTGTAGATGATGCGCCCTACACCATGGTTGCAGACAATGGTTTTATCGGTTCAATTCCATATCTTCGGAAAGCAGACGGCGCGGCAGATGAAACGCTGTTTGGGGCAAGCGCTGACGTTGCAAACAAGAGCAATGGTCCGATTATCCCTCAATGTCATGTGTTGGTGGCGACACTGAATGCTAAGGATGCTTACGACAATTCCTGGCACAGATGCTTTGGACATGGTGCCAGGCGGATTCTCTATGAGTTCCGGCCATTCATGGAGTATGTGCTACAGCGAATTTGCGGCTGGTGTGTGGATCTCTCCGTGGTCTTTGCTGCAACTGTAGAGGAATATTTGTTAGCCTTTTTTCGTACTGGGGCTCTCTGCTTCCTGATTTACATGGGCCGTATGATTTCTTTTGCATGCAGCATCAAGGGTGGGACGCACAACGCTGATAACATTGTTCGCCTCTACAGGCAAGCTTGTAAAGGAGTGCCCTGGCACCTTGGTTATGCCCTAGCTGGTTTTTCACCAACCATGGATGCAATACTGAAGGCAAGGACCTTACAGTGCAAGAAGTCTCGGGGCAGACCGCGGTTTTCTTATGACCTTTGGCTTTTGCTGTGTATAGTGAGCCTTTGTTTCGGGCAAGCCAGGGCGGCCAGAGGGTGGCGATTCTCCTCCGAGCCGACGCGCTATCCCAGCCTTGACATGAGCGGGTACAGATTTGACATGCGTCAAGAGGTCCTCCAAGCTCAGAGACAAGCAGCTGCAGGCAACATTGGGTCAGAGTCTGAATCATATAGTGAGGAAGAAGCAGATGCAGATGAGGAAAGTGGATCCTCATACTCTCTGGATCCAGCACCTCCTCAACCACGCAGCCCCTTTCCTCATTATGTACCTAGATCTTTCAGGATCATTGCTTACGCTCATCGACCAGAGTTCTTGGCTGCATCGTTCCGAGAAGGAACGGCGATGGACCGTGCTCTTGAGATGATGGATGTTGATAGCATACTGGCCAACTGCTGCGGCAAGGGATTCTTTGTTGCTCAAAGAGGCATGCCGATATCTGACGATTTTCATGTTGTTTGGGTGCCGGCGTGGATGCCTTTCACAAGTGGATGCATTATTGTTGTTGAGGCGACTCTGCTCAGTCTAGGCACCTTTGCTTGCCACATTCCTAACAGTATACTGAGCAGGGATTTTGTCCGAGCAATGATGCCAGAGCTTGGTGAGCAAGAATGGCATTTATTTGTCCCTGCCCACTTGGAAGGGCCACTTGCATCCGGCGAATCGATTCGCTTGAGCGCAGGGGATGTTGTGCACTTGCAGCCGGATCCTATGGGCCCTTTTGTCCATGACAGCAATGAAGTGGCGTTTGATGACTTTCCTCTGT